TTGGCAGGCGAGACTGTAGTTGTTTTATTGTTCCGAACCCCGAAATTCCGGTACTCGGGCCATTACTCCGGAGACCCTCGGAACCTGCTGTGTTTTTGCTGCTTGTTTTTTGTTTTTGTTTTGTTGTTGAGATGAGACACAAGCGCGCCTTCGCCCCTTGTGCTCACTCTCATCTAGCACCCATCAAAGCCTGACCAGGGAGTCAGTTGATAAGAACATCTATCTGCATTTCTCTTTCCAAAGCTCGCTCGGGCCTACCGATTTCACAGCAGTGTAGACCAACCTCTGTGATAGAGCGGTGACAGCAGTGTAACCTCTGTGGTAGACTACAAAGTCTACGAGCTACAGCGGCACCGCCACCTCCGCTGCTGCAAGACGCCACATTCTGTGACACCAAGGTGCTCGGGCACCGTGTTGTGAGCGAAAGTATTTGAGCTCCTGGGGAACGATAGGCTGCAGCAATAGACTATCCCCCAGGTGCAGGGCCGCTCTTGAAACATTACCCGTTGAAGGGCGGGAGGTCAATACTGTATGTCCAGAGCCGGCTGGCCGGATGCAAGCAACGACCACCACTTCAACGATGAAAAGACACCTGAAAGAGGCAACCATTCGGAAACAACCGACCCTGGTGGGCTAGTTGTTGCGGGTTCCTCACAGGCTTGTTGTTGCGGGTTCAGAGCGCGCCTGATCTGACATGTGTCATATCGAAAAGAACCGATCAACCCGAAACGGCAAATCGAAACAGCAGCAGCTGGGAATAGGGCCATGTTCGTGTGATATCGGAAAGAAACGCAGCCGCTCGCGCCGAAAGCTCCACGATTGATCCTGGTTCCAAAGCATATACAGCAGTCCGTCACCGTACTCGCCGCGGAGGCGATCCGGGGTCGTCCAATGCAGCTGCAAAAGCTTGAAGAGGTGTGGTCCAGCGGTGAGCTTGTGGTACTGCTGTTGATTGACAATATCCGGAAGGGATCCAGAACGTCATGCAACCTTGACTTGAACCTTGACTTGAACACGCGACGACCAGCATGCTCAGCAAGGTCGCGCGACACGTTCAGAACCCTAACCTCGCCACGCAACACGCAAACCAGTGAAGTCAGCAACATTAGCAGAGAGAGGCTAACCAGCCAACCCGAGGGTAGACAGATTATCATGGCGTGTGTTTGCCAAGTTTTTGGCGGCTGTTGTTCTTGTTGTTGCCCCCCAATACATAGACTACATGACAGAATCAGTGAAGAATTAGTGAAATGCCGGGAGGGGAGAACACTCGCCACGGACAGAGAGCACAAGAGAGTGCCAGGGAGAAGGAAGAGCTTGCCGTGATGGAAGAATGTGACGTGCCGACGCTTGGACTACTAAAGGCCTAATGTAATTTCTAATTCAGTACATTAGCCTAGATTATTCTCTCCGCTCGTCTCGGCAGATAGGTTCGTGACAAAAATAGCCCAGTGCGCTGCATGACACAACGTTTGTTGACGAATCACCGAGAAACGCTGGAGTCTAATCTCCGGATTTTCTTTCTGCATGTTACGTACACCATTATGATGAATTTGGCCATCTCCCATATTATTGCAGCGGGCAAACTGTCCGCTGTCTACACGAGTATCTCTGCACATACGTGCATTCCTCTGCATGTAACTCGCGCAGGCCGTCGAAACGGCATCAACGGAGGGAAAATCAGATATCAGCGCAGCTCCCAGCACTCACATCACGTGTAGATTCCATGGAACACAGATGTATTTTGAATGATGATGCGTAGGAGAGACTCGGACCTGGTCAAATAAATGTGATCACGGAGACATCCCGTCATTCAAGAGCCGTTTGTTACGCTCAAGCAAGTTAGGCCGGAGGACTATATTGTACTAGATCGGGAGGTGGAATAGTTTTTTGTGGTGGTTGCACAAAAGTACCTGCAGTAGGCTCGTGCGTCTGTTACAGAAGAACGGGGGGCGGTCCATCATCACCAGCTAGAGAGGGGGGTGGTATCCATCATCATTCGCTAGAGGGGGGGGTGGTGTCCATCATCATTCGCTAGAGGGGGGTGGTATCCATCGTCAGCCGTGAGGGGGGGGTGCTTTCATCAGAGGGGGGGGTGCTATCCATCGTCATGAGCTAAAGAGGAAGAAAAAAACGTTGAAAAATTCCGCGGCTTGTGTTGCTGCTGCTGCTGATTGTTTGAACAGGACGCTTCCGCCACCGCTTTAGATAACAGCAACAGCAGCAGCAGCAGAGGCGACACACCCTCTCGCCCACAATGAGTGTAGAGAGGTGCACAGCACAGCAGTGGTACTACATCGTCTAGGAACGAGCGTGATGTGTTACTGGTCCCGTGCTGTGATGTATGTGTGCCTCTCTCCAGAGCAGAGGCAGAGGCCGCTCCCTCCCGCCGCGTCGCAACACAATAACAACAACCAACCGATGGACCCACAGAGACCCAATCAATATCTCTCCTCTCGCTTCCTCCGCCGAAAGCTAGCAGCAGCAGTAGTATAGGGCACACCCTGCTCCCGTCCCGCTCTCGCTGTGTGGTGTGTGCAACACACGCTGGTTGGTGGGACTCCCTCTCTCTCCAGAGAAAAAAAGGCGAAAAAAAGGCCGGCAGCGTTGAACAACAAAAACAAACAACGGAGACAACAGCAACAACATCATCAGCCCCAGACCAACCAAACGTTCCCCGCTTCCTCCGCCGTCGCCAACAGCAGTATGTGTGTGTGTCCCGCCCCCCTTGTCCATAAGCCCTGTCTCTGTGTAGTGCGTGTCTTGCCAGTAGCAGCAGAAGTGTGTGCAGCACGGC